TATGGACGACCGGCTGCTGGGGCCGCCCCCTCCAGGCGGGGGCCGAGGGGGCCTGGGATTGGTGGGTGGGGAGCCTGGGGGCCCTGGCGAGCCTCCCGGTGGCGGAGACCCCGGTGGGGGCAGCGGGGGGGTCCCGGGAGGCCGGGGGAAGCAAGACATCGGGGACATTCTGCAGCAGATAATGACCATCACGGACCAGAGCCTGGACGAGGCCCAGGCCAAGTGAGTGCCCCCGCCCGGGACCCCACGCAGCCCAGCAGAAGCCCCATTCACAAGCTCAGTCTTCTGGGACACCCCCCCCCAACTCCAGGATCCTACAGCTCTCTTCTCTCCTTACTCCCGGGAACCCCGAGATAAGCGACCCCTCTCAAACCTTCCTTCACTCCCAGGCCCTAAAACCTCAAAGACGGGGACCCCGGGTGGTCTCATCCCCCTCTCCTAACCTCTCACTGACCCCCCGCCACTCCCCTGAACATCCCTCCACCTCCAGAGCCCCTTCTGGCTCCTCCCCTAACTCTCCACCCAGCCGGCCCCCTCCTCTGCAGACCTGAGGACCTCCACACCCCTCCTCTCCACCTTGGCCCAGCCTCCACGTGTCCTCAGCCACCCTTCACCCCTGCTCAGTCCCAGGGCCCTCTACACACATCTCTGCTGATCTCCCCACTTTAGCTTGGCACCCCTAACCCCTCTCTGGCACCTCAAACTCTGACTCTTCACCCCAGTCTCCATCTCTCTTCTGAAATCTACCTAGTCACCCTCATATCTGCAGTCACCCCCATACTCCCCCTCTGCACCCTTCTAGACCATCTCTCACAGCCCCCAGCCTGCCCATGGGGCCTTTAGCTTTCCTCTGTCACAGGAAGCCAAGCAGCTTCCCCACATCTCCATGCTCTGGGAGCTGATCTCTTCCCAAGAACCCCCACCTCCATTCCACCCCCAGTCCCACTTTCTACCTTCCTTCTTGTCCTCAGGCTCTCTTCTGTCACCCTCATGGTCTCCCCCTGCCCGTTTCTGTAGCTAAACTTTTCTCTCCTGTTCCTCCCAAGGAAGCATGCCCTAAACTGCCACCGAATGAAGCCTGCTCTCTTTAGCGTCCTGTGTGAGATCAAGGAGAAAACTGGTATGTGGGTCCCTCTTGATTCCTCAACTCCTGGGATGGAACCCTGTTCTCTGTAGACTCAGGCCAAGAGTCTGACTGCTTGGAGCCCTAAGGAGAGTGGGGGTCAGGGAGGTTGCCAGCGGGGACTGGGGAGGGAACCAAAGGAACTCTGGTCTCCAAGAGGCACCCGGAGGGCTGAGAACTGAGTGTGGGGGTCCCTGGGTCCCTAAGTCCACTCACCTGCACTAGGCCTCAGCATTCGAAGCTCCCAGGAGGAGGAGCCTGTGGACCCCCAGCTGATGCGCTTGGACAACATGCTTCTGGCAGAAGGTGTGGCTGGGCCTGAGAAAGGGGGGGGCTCAGCAGCAGCAGCTGCTGCCGCTGCAGCCTCAGGGGGCGGCGTGTCCCCTGACAACTCCATCGAACACTCGGACTATCGCAGCAAACTTGCCCAGATTCGCCATATCTACCACTCGGAGCTGGAGAAGTATGAGCAGGTGAGGAGAGGAGGCTGGAGTGGGTGCAGGGAGAGTCCTTAGGGGGAATCCCAAGGCCAGAGGGCTCCTCCTCACAGCCCACTGTCCTGCTGCAGGCATGTAATGAGTTCACGACCCACGTCATGAACCTCCTGAGGGAGCAGAGCCGCACGCGGCCCGTGGCACCCAAGGAGATGGAGCGGATGGTCAGCATCATCCATCGGAAGTTCAGCGCCATCCAGATGCAGCTCAAGCAGAGCACCTGTGAGGCCGTCATGATCCTTCGTTCACGCTTCCTGGACGCCAGGTGCGCCCCCGGCCCAGGCTGCCCCTGCAGTGGGCTCCTTCCCATCCTCCAGGCCCCTGGGTCGACACTGAGCTCCCGACAGAAATGCTGTCCAGTTGTGCAGCATGGAGACCCTGCTAGGACAGCAGTGTCCTCACCTCTCTTCCCCCTCCTCTGTAGACGAAAACGCCGGAACTTCAGCAAACAGGCCACTGAGGTCCTGAATGAGTATTTCTATTCCCACCTGAGTAACCCCTACCCCAGTGAGGAGGCTAAGGAGGAGCTCGCCAAGAAGTGTGGAATCACCGTCTCTCAGGTATGGGGAGGAGTTTGCAGACAAAAAGCTCTCCGATCCTATTGACTGAGGGTCATACAGAGGGAAAGGTTTCCAACTGACCCTCATTTCTGCCCAACGCCCCACAGGTCTCCAACTGGTTTGGCAACAAGCGGATTCGCTATAAGAAAAATATTGGAAAGTTTCAAGAGGAAGCAAACATCTATGCCGTCAAGACTGCTGTGTCTGTCACCCAGGGGGGCCACAGCCGCACCAGCTCCCCGACACCCCCTTCCTCCGCAGGTGGAGCCCTCTGCCACTCTGGCTGGCTGTTTTGCACTCTTCCTGCTTTTGTTCCCACTTTCTACCTAGGCAGGATCATGGAGTGAGGGCTTTTGGGGGCGAGAGAGACCAAGCTGAGATGGGGTGGGGGTGTCAGAAGCCACTCCAGCCAAGTTACATCTTGCCTTTCTTCCAGCAAGTGACAGGGGAGGCTGGGAAACAGTGTAATCCTTCTGAGTGTTGCAGTGTTGTCATGTGGATAATTTGTGCACAGTGGCACCCTCCTGCAGAGCTAGTTCAGAGGGCCTTTTGGAAATAGTTGTGTCGCCTGTCTGCAGGCACAGGCTGTTATCATTACTTCCCTAATTCCTTCTCTGCTCCCCCAAGGCTCTGGCGGCTCTTTCAATCTCTCAGGATCCGGAGACATGTTTCTGGGGATGCCGGGGCTCAACGGAGATTCCTACTCTGCTTCCCAGGTCAGATGGCCCATCTCCCCTTGGAAAGGGTTTTCCCAAGTCAGTTTCCCTCCCTTCAGGATACCAGACGTTTTCCTTTTGAGGCGTCTTACTGTGTCATACCTTCCTTTGCTGCCCGTAGGTGGAATCACTCCGACACTCGATGGGGCCAGGGGGCTACGGGGATAACCTTGGGGGAGGCCAGATGTACAGCCCTCGGGAAATGAGGGTAAGTGGATCCCTGAAGCCCCCTCTCTCCACCTCTCACCAGGAGGGCCTTTTCCCTGGCAGTATCGTCCCCCATACTAGGTTTCAGAGCCCTACCCCAACTGTCTCTTTTTCCAGGCAAACGGCGGCTGGCAGGAGGCTGTGACCCCATCTTCAGTGACATCCCCAACAGAGGGACCGGGGAGCGTTCATTCTGACACTTCCAACTGATCTCACCCCTCAGGGCCACAGGGGTGGGGGCGCATGAGGTGACTCTTGAAGAGGACAAGGCATCCAGAGGACAAACCCCAGACATAGGAGAAGCACAAGATGGAAAAGGGCAAATGGGGTTGACCCTCCCCACAGACTCAGTGCTGGGGTTGCTGACCATGTGGCAAGAAGAATGGGGTCCCCTAAGGGGAAAATGGGGTCTGTCTCCCTTTTTTCCTTTTCAGTCTTTTTCTCTCCCCCTTTCTTACACAGAAACACACACCCAGACCCTATTTTTCTGACCCTTTTTCTCTCATATACACATATACAACTATTCTGTTTCTCTCCTCTCTCTGGTTTCACCCACTCTCCTTCCCCCACCCCTTATCTGCTCTGGGATCGGTGGAGACGCCAGCCTTGCCCTACCTACCAGAGATGCCAAAAATGGGGACACAACTTCTGGACAGATGACCTGGGCCACGCCCCCGTGCCTCCCACTCCCTGCCCCTCCAGACGGCTTTATTACCTCATACGCAGCTCATCTTAAACCAATAGAATCGCTCGGTGGACGAGAGTGTCTGACTCAGATATCTACCTCGGAGGGAGTTTCTGCTACTTTAAGGAATTGTTGACTGGGTTTGGGGGTTGAACTTTTTTTTTTTTTTTTCTTTTTTAGGAAAGAAAAGGAAACCCTGGGATCCATCTGTATTTTTTTTTATTTTTTTGTTGTTGGTTCTTAATTTTTTATTTAGTTTGGGGACGTAGATGTTTTTATATGTTGATTTCTTTTTTTCTCTTAATTTCTTGCTTTCCATATTAGGGGTGATAGCCAAAGGGGTCATGATAAGAGAAAGGGGAACAAGTAGAACTGGTGAAGAGGCCTGTCTGGCTCTAGTCCTGTCCATCAGGAAGTACATTTACCAGGGCACCAAGCCTGCCCCATAAAGTCAAGCCACTTAGGTATTGTCCTTTGCGTGTAAAATCCCAGGTGTCCTTTGCTTGTCAGGCGGCTCCTGCTGCATTTGGTATGGAGGCAGCTGGGGGCTTGCTTGGCTGGCCTACACTCCCTCTTCCCACAACCCTTGGGCAGGGCTAGACGGTCATTTTGAGGAAATGCCACCTTCCCCTGTGACATGTCTTTAAGTCTACAGGTTGGGGGGGGAATGGGGAGGGGTCATTGCAAAATAAGTATGAGTTGGGGTGCTTGTGTATGTATCTCCCTCGATTTCCCCAGAAATGAGGTACTTTTTTTTTTTCTCAGTCTAAAATCATGAGGGTGGGGAGAGGAGGGAGGTTGCAAAAAGCCAAGTATAGGGAGATGTAAAATCATCGCTGCCCCATCCTTGGCCCTGAACCCCTCAAACATCAGGATTTCACAGGACTGTCACCATGGGGAACCCCTACCGTCAAAGATCTGTGCAGGACTGAGGGCAGGCTGGGATTGTGATGGGTGGGGGGTGGGAGGCACGGGCGCGGGCAGTTCTCTCCTCACTTGTAAACTTGTAGTTTCACAGAAAGAAAAAAAAAAGTTTTAAATAAAGAAATTTCTTTTTCCCCTGGGTTTAGTTGAGAATTATTTTCAAAAACATAAGAAGCCCCAGGAAGAAAACATTATTCTCTTCATAAAGCCCCAAAAGGGTTTTCCTGGAGCCCCCAGCCTTGCCCTCACCACCCAGGCCCCAGGCCTGAACCCCATTGCCTGGGAACCTCCTCTCCTCAGATGGGGCTCCAGTGGTCCACCAGGTGGCCCTCTGCTGACTGACGGTACAGGTTGGGGGTCCTAAAGACGTGAGAGACCCTAGGGGATGCACTCCCCACCCCCATGGATGTGGCAGCGCCCAGGGGTGGGGTGATCATTGTTTCTAGTATCTGAAGGACTCTTATGTGAGAGTCATGAATTCCTAGCATTCCCTGTGCCAGGACAGGACGGGGAGATGGGGGCAGGGGAGAGGGTACAAGCCCCACCTAGGGCAGTGGCCAGAGCAGTGAGAGGCAGGCAGAGCCAGGAGCCTGGACAGAAGGCAAGATGGCAGCAGGTGCAACGGCTGGAGCCTGGGTGCTGGTCCTCAGTCTGTGGGGTGAGCCACTACCCCCACCTGTGGAAGGCACTTAGCCCCCTCCCCAGATCTCCCCAGAACTTTCCTGCAAGCTGTCACTGCTCTTCCAGCTCCCGTGCCCACCCTGTGCTAGTTCTCTCAGCCCCGTCTCCCTCCGCCCCTCCACCTTGGTGCTGTCTCTCAGGGACAGTGGTAGGCGGTCAAAACCTCACAGCCCCAATCGGGAAGCCACTGGTGCTGAACTGTAAGGGTGCTCCCAGGAAACCACCCCAGCAGCTGGAATGGAAACTGGTAAGTGAGGCTCCTGCTGCAGCCTCCCCGTCTCCCTACCTCAGGAGTCCTTTCCCAAAGGGCTTGCACTGTTCAGGCCCCTCTCCTCTGTCCCCAGAACACAGGCCGGACAGAAGCGTGGAAGGTCCTGTCTCCCCAGGGAGGCCCCTGGGACAGCGTGGCTCGAGTCCTCCCCAACGGCTCCCTCCTCCTACCGGCCGTGGGGATCCAGGATGAGGGGACTTTCCGGTGCCGGGCAATTAGCCGGAAAGGAAAGGAGATCAAGTCCAACTATCAAGTCCGAGTCTACCGTAAGGGTTCTGGGGCCTTCTGCAAGGCCCACCTCTCATTTAAGAAAAAGCCTTCAACCCCTGCCCTTGACTCCTTGGCCCTGACTTTGGCTACCCCATTCCCACACTGGGGGTGTAAGAACCTTCAAAGCTCCAGCTTCTGATTGGAATTTTCCCCCCTTCAGAGACTCCTGGGAAGCCAGAAATTATTGATCCTGCCTCTGAACTCAAGGCTGGTGTCCCCAATAAGGTAGTGGAAAAGGGGAGCAGAAAGTGGTCCTGGGAATGGGAGGAGTGTAGCTGGGTATGTGTGTATGGTGTCTCGTATTTTCAATGATGAGGTTGCTCTTTCCCCCAGGTAGGGACATGTGTGTCTGAGGGGGGCTACCCTGCAGGGACTCTTAGCTGGCGCTTAAATGGGAAACCCCTGATACCTGATGGCAAAGGTGAGTCCCAAGTTCCCCCCCTCCTAGCTGCTTTTCTGATCCCTCTCCCCCACACACCCTGGGATATCCTATCTTCTTCCTCTACCACAGGAGTGTCTGTGAAGGAAGAGACCAGGAGACACCCTGAGACAGGGCTTTTCACACTCCAGTCAGAGCTGATGGTGACCCCAGCCCAGGGAGGAGCTCCCCACCCTACCTTCTCCTGCAGCTTTAGCCCTGGCCTTCCCCGGCGCCGAGCCCTGCACACAGCCCCAATCCAGCTCAGTGTCTGGGGCGAGCACAGAGGTGGGGAGGGCTTCAAGCTCGGGTGAGTACATTCTGAAAGTATGGCCACTGGGACCACACATAGGTATAACTCTCAGCCTCATGCCCCTTCCCAGCCCCGGAGCCTGTGCCTCTAGAGGTCCAACTGGTGGTGGAGCCAGAAGGTGGAGCAGTAGCTCCTGGTGGTACTGTGACCCTGACCTGTGAGGCCTCCACCCAGCCCCCTCCTCAAATCCACTGGATCAAGGATGTGAGTGACCTGGAGAGGGGCTGGGCAGTAGAAAGATACATAATAGGCAACTAGGAAGGTAGGGAGCTCACGGAGAGAGGCAGGCAAGGAGCTGGGGAAGACAGGGTATCTGAGGATGTGGAGACAAGACAGGAGTATGGGATGTATGGACAGGGGTTGTAATAGCCTCCTGTCCCCCTTCCCCCACCCAGGGCACACCCCTGCCCCTTCCTCCCAGCCCAGTGCTGCTCCTCCCTGAGGTAGGGCCTCAGGATCAAGGAACCTACAGCTGTGTGGCCACCCACCCTAGCCATGGGACCCAGGAAAGCCGTGCTGTCAGCATCAGCATCATCGGTAAGGAGACCTCTCCCCAAATCCCAGAGACCCCGTGCAGGCTCCAGTTACCTACCCCATTTTGGCACTGTTCCCAAGGACCACCCCACTCCACCTTCAGTGCACCCACACCCAGGCTGCCCCACCCAAACCCTACCAAGAGAGCACCCCAGCCTGTCCCTTCTCCACTCTGGACTAAAGAAAAGAAGACCCCACTGGGGCTCCCACTAAATAGCCCTCTCCCAACCTGAAGCCTTCCTTTCTGACTTGCTCTTTGTTTTCCAGAAACAGGCGAGGAGGGGCCAACTGCAGGTGAGGGGTTGGATAAGGTCAACGAAGCAGATAGGCCCCAATGTGACTGGGGGGATGGTAACAAGAAAGCAATGGTAAGTGGTGGGGCTGTGCCCTCAGTCCTCCCCATTTCTCTACAGGCTCTGTGGGAGGGCCTGGGCTGGGAACTCTAGCCCTGGCCCTGGGGATCCTGGGAGGCCTGGGGGCAGCCGCCCTGCTCATTGGGGTCATTGTGTGGCAAAGGCAGCGACGACGCAGAGGAGAGGAGAGGTAAGTGGAGAAAGCTAGATACCTCAGACTTAGGGCTTCCGGGCAGCAAGGAGAGGTGTGGAGGAAATGCTAGGACCCACGTGCACAATTCTCCCCAATCTTCCTCCCCAGGAAGGCCCCAGAAAACCAGGAGGAGGAAGAGGAAGAGCGTGCAGAGCTGAATCAGTCGGAGGAGCCTGAGGCAGCCGAGAGAAGTGCAGGAGGGCCTTGAGGGGCCCACAGCCACCCCTACCCCTCAGCTCCCTTTTCTTTTCCCCACACTGTTTTGGCCCCAGACCAGTCCTCACTTGTATAACCTCTACTCACCTCGCCAAACTTTCTTCCACAACCAGAGCCTCCCATGAATAATGATGAGTAAACACCTGACATATCTTGCTCCCTTTGCTTTTGTGTGTGTGTGTGTGTGTGTGTGTGTGTGTGTGTGTGTGTGTGTGTGCGCATGTGATGCCCTCACTTCCCCATATCACAGCAAACACCCACTCAAAGCGGGGAGATGTTCCTGTCTGAGAAGGAAGGGGAGAAGGACAAAAGTGGGCAGAGTTCTCATCAATGCATCTCAACTTGTTTATTGAATTTGTAATGAAGATAGTGAGGGGAAGGAAGCATTTAGAGTCAGAACCCATATTAGACACTGGGGAGAGAAAAATTAAATTAAATCAACAAGGGGAAAGTCAGAGGGAGCCTTGCCCACCTTTCAACATCAAATCAAGAAACGTGGGGGAAGGCAAAGGATGAGCAAAGAGGAGAAACAGACCTTCTCTTCCATCCATCCTCCCTCCCAGAGCTGGGAGGTGCGCCGCTACGGAGCGAGAGTGCGCAGTTCAAAGAGAATGCTTCTCCCATCCTCTGTGCAGGTGGCGCTCCTCCCCACACCCTCCTGGAGAGTGGCCAAGGCTGGCCTTAGCCAACAGAAATGGAGGGGCTGGGGGGAGGGCCGGGGAGGAAGGAAGGGTCAGCAGGAACCCCCAATACTGATTCTCCTCTGGCTAGAGGTGGGCAGAAAGAAGACATAGCTCAAATACTGAGCAGCCAGAAAAAGAAGAAGATGGCGAGAAACAGGAAGAGGGAGTCCTGCCAGCTGGAGGCTGGGTGACCCTGTCCCAGATCCACACCTGTAGGAGAGAGGAAAGCTATGGCAGAAGCATCCACTCCGGGGACAGGAGGGGGCCTGAGGGGCTTCAGGGGACTCCTTGGTAGGGGCAGAGGGATGGCTTTTACCTGCACCCCGGCGGAATGGCTCATGGGTATTGAAGACGGTGGTGAAAAATCCAAAGGGAAAAGCACCAACACCAAAGGAGAAGTGAAAGCCCCCGGTATCACCAAATGGCTGGAATCCCTAAGGAGGTACAGAAAGTCAGAGTGGGGATGGGCAAGTCTTTGGCAAGGAAGAAACACAATCAGACAAGACTCACCCCTCTGCTCTCTGGAGCTGGTCGTTGGCCCTGGGGGCGGGGTGGAGTTTTCAATCTGAGGAAAAGGAGAGGGACATCAACAGGAAATGTTCTCTCCACTTCCACACCTCACTCCCAGGGAGGAACTCTTCCACCTTTCCTCAGCACCCTCCTCTCTCTCACCTGGGATCCTGGGGCTTCTGACTCCCTCGCCCATAAAGGGGGACAACCTTTTCTCTGCTGATCCCAGCTTTACACACTGGGCACTCTTGCCGCTCTGGCCGTGTCTCTAGCCACTGGGGGGAAAAATGAAGTGGTTTCCAGTACACAGCAGGGTCTTCCAGCTCCTCAGACCTCCCCCATTTCCCTCTTCATCTCCTCTGAGTACGCACCTGATGAAGACAGGGCCAACTGGATGGGGGAGGAGAAAAAGGTCAAACTAGCTACAGGAAAGAGACATAGACCCGACCTCAGAGTCCCACCTCACCCCCAATTCCCAGGATTACCAGCTGTTTCTTTTCATATTGTCTGCCAGCTCTACCATGCCAGCCCACTCGGCCTTCCAGCGTTTCTAATCTTCCCACACCTAAAGCTTCATCCATCCTCAAAATGCTCAACCCTCTCCTCTGCCCCAAAACACGAGCGCACACACACTCACCCTCATCCCCACCCTTCTCCTTTTGACTTAATTTTCAATTCTCTTCAGCCACCCCTTTCCAGATTTCCTTTCAGTACCAGCCCCATCCTTGCACCCGTGACTCCCAAACCAAACCCCCTAACTAGCACCCTCCCCTACTACTCCTTTTCCTCTCTTCCAGGCCCAATCAAGTCCCTATTGCCACAATCCTTTAACTTCTCAAGACTGTCCCTCCAGGTGCCCTTGTCCCCAGGACATACCACCCCCTGCCATACCTCACCTGAATGTGATCCCACATTTCACAGGTCTTCCCCATCAAGTAATGCCTCCCCTAACCTTTGAATTAATCCGTTTCCACCCGCATGGCTAAGATCCCCTCACTTATCTGGGTAAGGTGGCTCGGGTCTCCCCGATACAGATGTGCGCCGTCCACCCTCCCGCCCCACTTCCTCTCAACACAGCAGACGCTCCAGCTCCTCGTTCCTGCGCCTCTCCAAGCACAGGTCTCGTCAGCACAGGCGAGACCCTCCCACCCACTCGCACACCCGGAAAGACGTGTGTTCCCTCCTCCGGGCTCACCTGTGGGGACGTGCCCTCCGATTATCCGTATGACTGTTGGTCCCCCCGCCCTCTGCCTCCCCCGTAAGGAGACGACCCCACTCCTTTCGCCCCCTTCCCGATTCTCACCAGTACAGGTGGCCACACATACTGATCACAGCTTCCCGAGCAGTCTCCAGACATATATTACATTCGAAGGTCGCGCCTGCCCCGCCCCGCTCGCCGTTTGGCCCCTCAGAGCCCCCATCCTCCTCCTCCGCTGCTGCCATGGCCGACGCGGCTTCGCCTCCGCGTACCCCTTAGTCCCCGCAAACACACATACACAAGCCCAACAAACAAGAAACCGCCTCCTGCTCACGATCGTTTGGGGAGGCTTCAAGGTTTTTTAACCACGATTGGCCTGAGTGCCTGCCAATCACACAGAATTCAAAAGAAAGCATTGGCCCAGAGGCGAGGTGGAAAGAGGCTTGCGCGGTCCTGCCCTCGCACGAGGACTATTGGCTTACACCGCCCCGGCCGGCCCGCACCCCGGGCTGTAGGCACCGCCCTACGGCCCGCCGCCGGCCGGGGGAGGCGTTATTCGTCTGGGTGGCTGCCAGTCACATCCAAAGGCCAGAAGCAATTGGTTCGGGACTACCTAGATCTCGGCTGTACAACCCCTTTCTTTCCTTCACTTCCTGTTTCCTAGAATGTCCGGATTCCTATTGGACTTTGGAGCGAATGGCTCCAAAGCAATCGATTGGCTAGACTCGACGGGAAATGGTGGTCAGCTGAAATGCGCTTGCGCAGCAGGCGGCGGGAAGGGGTGGACCAATCCTGTGAGGGTTGAGCGTTCTCTGAACGCATCCTTCACCGCTATCTTGTCGTCATGGTGACGGCTCTACAATTGGCTGGCTTTGGGGGTTCAAAGGCCTCGGCTTAGCCTCATCCTAGTCTTCGGCCTGTGGTATCTCTTGCCCGATTGGGCCGTTTCCTTCGCCCCTAATTGGCCGAGATCGGAAAAGACAGCGAAGGGCTCAGGAAAGAGGGAAACACTAGGGTCGCGCGTTCAAAATGGCTCCGGCCTCTTTCGGTGACGTAGAGAGCAAAGCTTGGGGCCGCCCCTCCCTCCAAGTGAAGAAGGGAGAACTGGGATAGCCCAGCGCGTGGATGGTGCGGGCCTCGACCTGCGGCGCCGGGGCCAACCCGGCCCTCGGCTCACCGACCTGGCCCGTCCCTCTGTGGGTGGTTTACAGAGCAGAACTGAACCAAAGGCTCACCCCTTTTGAAAGTGGCCGGTAGAACAGAGTTGGCCTCGACTGCGTTTTAAACCTTAAGAGCAGAAAATGCCTAGCTCCCCCGCTCGGTGAGTGGGTGCAGGGGGGCAAGGCCCGCCCCTTTTTAAGGCGACCTGCGGCGGAACGGAGTTAGGCCCGCCCCTTCCTTCTTGGAAGATGCCCTGGAGAGCTGGGGTCTTCCCCCGGGGCTGGGCCCCTGGGACTTAGGCGAGTCGCTTCAGAGCGTGGGCCTTTGTTCTGCAGTCAGTGACCCTCACTGTGGCCCAAGGAGCAGAATTAGGTAACACTCCTCCCACTACCAGAGCTCTTCACATCTTCCTCAGGGCGTGCAAAGTCTCACGGCTAAGGCGTGTCGGGGCGGGGCAGACGCGGGCTGACGGCAGTTCAGCAACAACCTGATAAATGCAGGGGAGGTGGCGGTTCAGGGGTTCTGTAGAGGTTTAGGGGGAAAGTTAGTGAGAAGAGGTGGAGACCAAGGAAGAAGCAGTGATAGAATGATCCTGGTAAAGGGATAATGGGAATATGGGGACCACGGGCTGGAGACGGAGCTAGCTACATGGCTACAAAATTAAGGAGGCATGCTTGTCCCAGAGGAACCAGCATTCTTCCTCACTTTCCCCTCGCCCCCCCCCCCCCAAGAAAGCAATCCTAATGCCCAATTTCCATTTTAAGAATAGATGCGCCCAGATTGAGGGGTTGCCTCGGCTTGGGTGAGTAAGGAGACTGATAGGAAGGAACTGGAAAAAGTACTGAGGTTAACGAGCATCGAAAGACGGGCAGGGAGAGGGCCTGAGAGCATCCTTTCTCTTTAAAGAGGCAGGGGCTGGGGAGGGGGTAGAGGAGGGAGTTGGACTGCTGGGAGGTATGGAGGGGACAAAGGACAAAGAGACCAAACTAGGGGGCTGGAGGGTGAGGGGAGGGGAGATAGAGCCCTGGAGGGACAAAGAGAGGTGAAGGGCTCAGTGCTTGGCATCCAGTAGAAGTTTGATAAATATTTGGAATTGAATGAGGGACAAGAAAATGAGTCTCAGAGAAGAGTTAGAGGGAATAAGCAGCAGATAGGGGAGTTAAGGAGAAAGGAAGAAGCCAAGAAGAAGTGGCAAAAGGGCAGCTGATGAAGACTGAGGAGAAGGAATGGGCCGAGAAAGGAATACAGCCTGCAGGGGCACACAAGTCACGTTAGCTGAAAGGGAGTTTTATGGAGGAAAAAAGATGCAGCTGCAGCCAGAGAAGGACAGATGCAGAGCCCAGCCCAGCTCTCCCGGAGCGCGGCGAGCGAGCGGAGACTGGTCGGCGTGCGGAGGAGACGCCGGGGGCCCGGGAGGCGATTGGCACAGCAGCCGCCCATCACCGCCCCCTACTTCCTGACCAGCCCCGGAAGCCACAGGCGGAGGGGAGGGTGGGGGGATAG